ACGGTTCATTGCAGATAGGATATGTCAAATCGCAAATGCTCTGTCACTGAATAATTACACTTAAAGCCTTTAAGACAATCAGCTTAAGTCTTACAAAATTTCGAATGTATTTTTACCACTTGAGCACTTAAGACCGAAATTTCTCTATAGACATTTTATAGCAGTGGGATATGTGAATCATGCTCATTATATCTATTATATGTATATCTTCAATATTTTATTTAGCAATAAATCAAATAATTAAATTTTTCATGATCTCTGGGTACATATACACAATATGCATAAATATAAATATATGCTAAATTTTCCAAATATATTTCTAACGTTTCGTTTCTCTCTCTCTCTCTTTTCTCTTTGATTCTTTCAGGTAAGCAATGCCAATTGATATGTAAACACAATTCGGCTTCTATGCGAATTCGTAGTAAGTAATGAGCTATATTGTTTTATTCCATTTCAACATCTATTTCGAGTGTCCTCTCTTTGCTCCAACATAATTTGCTCTTTGTTGTGCATATTTATATATATATTTTTTTGTTTTTAGTTTTTTTCTGTATTTACTTGTCAAGTTAACGACCATTGAAGAGAGCAAATGGATCGAAAATACAACACGCAGCGCACACTCACACACATGTGTCTGTGTGCCTGCGTGTATGTGTGTGTTTTCTTGTGTATGAACAAGCAGTTATAAATAATTTCTGGCAAAAAATCAGCAATTTTTCCGTTGATCTCCAAGTATAGCGCGTTGGCACAGAGCCAAAGCGAATTGCGCATACGCCGTGTGTCTCGCCCGCACACTCATGCATGCCCAGCTGCAGCTGTGTGCGTGTGCATGCTGGTATTGGTGCTCAATTGCTCTGGCTGCCTGCTGCTGCTCTGGAGCGTGCTGCTGCCGCTCTTCAGGCTCTTAAGAGTGTGGACTAAGAGTGCGAACGCTAGAGAATTCGGCTAGAATAGAAAATAAACAACCTGATTTTGTTCTTTACACTTTCTGGTTCGTTGTTTATTTATTGTATGTTGTTATTCTGCTGCTGTCCGCCGGGCAAAAGGTCCATTGCATCTGCGAAGGCTATTCGCAGCGCTGCCTCTGACACTGTCGCCTGTCAGCATCATCCCCCAGCATTGATGGCGGCGACAGCCTTGTGCATTAAATCAAAATCTGTGAAGCTAATGCCGCTGCTCAGCTGCCCGGCTGCCCATCCAAAGTTGCCCAGTTGCTGTCCAAGCTGCCAAATTGTTTTGTCACAATTTCGTCAGCTGTGCACAGCATTTCCGCTCTCTCCCTCTCCCTCTCGCACTCTCTGGCTTTCTCTGTCGCTCTCGCAGTCATTAATTCACGTCTAATTAGTTATGATTTTCGGGATGGTTTCAATTGTGCGCAAAACAACAAGGACGTGACTTTGGCAAAGAACTTGCCGTCCGTCACAGATCAAAGTGAAAATGTCACAAAATCAACGAGAGCAAATAAATATTAGAAATTCATTTGTATTATATATATATAAATGTATACATATATACGAGTATAAATATACATACATATATATATCTATGGTATTCCTATATATAGTATATGGATAATTAGTCTGTTTTCAGCGCTCTTCACTCACATTTACAGCTGCTGCGCCACTGAGAAATTGACTGTCAGGCATTTTAAGCGATTTTCAATTCCACGCACATGCACGAACACACGCGCAACAGTAAATACACATACTATGGCACTGCTCCACACACACACAGATATATATACAGATATTTTGGGCGTTCTGGTCTTGACCAAATTTGGCAAAGATGGGGAACCGGTGCGTCTCGCCGCCCTTGCAGCGCCTTCGCTTGTGCAGTTTAACTCGCTGCAATAAACACAAAATGTGCCAAACAATAACAAAAAAGTCATTTGGCGGCATTACAGCGATTGTTGTTGTTGCTGCCTCCTCCTCCTGCTGCTCCTGCTCCTACTACTGCTGCTGGCCATGTCGTTGTGCTTGTAAAGCTCAGTCAGCTTGCCACAATGAAAACAAACCAAAGACGTGGTCCAAGTTGCAGCCTAGGCACAGCCAAAGGGTTGTGGCGGGGTAGTGAGCGGGACTGGGTGTTGGCTGTGTGCGGCCGAACGACAGCTCGCTTGTTGCACAGCTTTCTTTGCATTTGGCCCAGTGCCAAAAGTTACCATTACGCTTGCTCTGGGTGTGACACAAAGGCGTCCGACTGAGGCTTGTTGTGCTCAATTTAAGACCGCTTGTCCCGCAGCTGCTAAATGGAAAATTTACTGAACTGCTGCTGCTGCTGCTGCTGCTGCTGCTGCTGCTGCTGCTGTTGTGGTTAAAGGCCTTGACTGGCCTTTAGCACGCCATTTTAAATGCAAGGCGCAAATAATGCGATGACCATTGGTATTTATGGAATGACCAAGAAATGATTGAAAAGTGCATCAAGACTTTGGCTTGTAATGGGGTCATTGACGGCTCGACAGCTCTCGCAGTTGTTCTTTGTTGCCGTTGGGCCATTAAGCCACAGAATATTTAGCAATCGGGCTGACAGCTTGATTGCATTTAAGTGCTTGGCACTGCTGCAAAAACTCCTCAAACTTGACATCAGGTTTCACACTGCGCAGTATTTCAATTGCTTTTAATTACTGCATTTATTATTGCTTTTTTAGCCAGGAGCCAAAGCTAAGATTGTGTTGTATCCACTTAACTTTTGACTGAATATATTTCTATGTAAATATTTATGTATGCTTGAAGCGCTGGACTTAATTTTATGCTATCCAAATATGGTCAAATAAATGCAGGGTTTGTGCATTTTAAGTTTACCTCTTTTTATACCACTCACAGGTTTTGCATTTTTGGTAAACCTTTTTTTTTCATACACTTACGCGCTGTTGTTAAATAAAAAGAGTATTTTATTTTTAAGCAGAAAAGGTCTCAAGGAATTTATATGTTGTATATGTTGGGTCTTTATATATTTTTTTTATCAAAGAAAAACACAATTATTTTTATGTTGATATTAATCATTATATTTGATTCAAGTGAATTTATTAATCTCACATGTTCAATGTGACATCTCCAAATGAGTCCGTCCAATATGAGCAATCATCTATGTTTAAAATATATAATCTTTATTCCCCATACTTATCAGTCTCCATGGCATACAAAATAATTTAGACTGACGATTCACAATCTGGATACAATTAATTTAGCAACAAATAACGCAGTATTCTCTTAGAAGAAAGAAAACTTATACTGAAACAATATTACTTATGAGATGCCACATTCTCTTACCTTTGGGTATATATTAAGGGTCTGCAAAGGTTTACTCGCAGCATGCATCAAATAGAATACCTCCAAATTGAATTCAGTTGAGTGAGTGAGCGTCGCACAATAAGTTGCCTGAGTTTCTATATGGAGTCACCCATGCATAGTCTTCGTACTTCGCAGTTCATCTTCATTTCGAGACAAGGAAACTCTATGTGTGCGTGTATGTGTTTCTATACACACGACACTTTTCACGACTCTTCCACTTAGCAGTCAACGTCACTCAGTGTATTTTGAGCATTGTTCATTCGAATAGGGTTTTCGCATGCATGTAGATCTCTCTTATATACATATGAAACATGTGCACTAGAGTATTTAATATAGCAACTGTAGGGTATCGCCAAGTCTTAAATACTCTAGATTCCTGTATATATTTATTTTGTGCACTGCATAAATTGTTAACATGGCACAAAGTAGCTTCATTTTATAACATTTTTGCATTTTGCATCACTGCAAACACTTCAAAAGGCATCTCTCGAACTCATGTTAACCCAGCTTGACCCCACAAAATAAGCAAAATTAAGAGGTATACATGCAGTGCTAAAAATATGAGTTTTTTTTATATATAAATGTATATATATATTTTTTATTTTTTGTGTTGACAACTTTTATTTGAAATTAAACTTTCACTCTGTGTGAACTTTTGAAACACTGTTTTGCTCTGTTGGTTAAAGTGCGCTTGGGGAGTTGGTCAACGAAGAGTCTCTTAAGCCTTCTTAGGAGTGGTGGGAGTGTTAAATGTTTGAGGCTTAGAATGGGATGTGTGCTTATAGTTTTGAATGTTTTATTTAACGTGGACTATGTTTATAACGGTTTTGATGTGCAAGTCTCTCATGATGCCCCCCTGAGGATTCGTCACTGTCAACTGAAATCTTTTAGATTAAATATGGAGCAATGGTTCCCCACAAGGAGCTCTCGTATTTTCCTGCATGTTTATGAAGAGCTTGAAAGAATGACAGCCAAATACATATATTATTTTAGGCTTTGTTAAAGTAACTTTAAAATAAAACAAATTCATGTTTGATTTTTTTGTTTTGTTTGTATTGAATTGTTTAACATTTATTTGATTCATATGTAATTCGATATTATTCGATATTCGTTATTCGTTTAAATAATTTGATTTTCCTTGTTCAGCTCTAACTACACATACAGTAAATCTTGTCACATGTCTTTCATTAAGCCCTATATACTATCATTATCCCATTTATAGACACTAAAAGGTGTATATACGATAGCTAAAACTATTATTGTTCGAATGTATGCGTTATGTAATTATAATTGAATACAATTCAATTAATATGCTTCGATTCTAGTTCAATTGGTTTTCGATTTTTTTATTTTTGTTTAGCTCGGTTAATACGGTTTTTGATTATTCGGTAATATCATTTGCAATGTTCTTAAGATATGAACGTCTATGCTCCCCATCCTCTTAACTATGTGGATCAAATGAAAACCTTTTGAGCTTCTTCAGAAATAAATTCAGTTTGAGTGAAGAGTAAATTGTTGAACGGGACTTGGGTAACAATCTGGAAGAGTAATTTCATTTAATTGAAAAGTTTCTGAAAACTTTGCCTATGCTCATATTAAAATATAAATTCCTTGGCTAGAAGATGAAACTTTAATTTCCATTTGGTCAAACAGACGGCTATCAATTAGGCACACCCACGCACACACACACACACACACACTGGAAATTATTAGAAAAATTTGGCAACATTTTGAAAGTTTTTAAAGTGAAACCCTTCGGCAAGCCTCGAGCATACCAAGGCCCTCCACAAACGCCCACTGGGCAGCCCTATTGTAATGTCTCTCTGCGAATGGGGTCAAGTGTGTATATGGCTCTCAAGTGCTCAAGGCGGTATGAGCAGCACGGCTCAAGCGGCCAAAAGAAAACAATAAACTGTGGGCCAAAAAAAAAACAAAAAAAAAACAAAATCAGAAAAGCGAAACAAAAACAACGAGAAATAACAAGCCTAAAGCACTAAAAAACGCTGAAGGACCGCCAGTGTGTGTGTGAGCTGGAAATCAATACGAACTAAAGCTATTCGCCACGCCCCAAAGCACTCAGTGACGCCCCATAGACGCTGTAGTTGGCTGAGGCGCGCCCCAAAAAGTAGGCAACGAAAATGGTTTAATAATTATTGCATAATTCGATATTCTTTAAAAACCCAACTGAACTTAACTGAACGGAATGCAAAGTGCAATGTGAATACATATTTCATTCTAGCATTGCATTTGTTGTTGTTGTTTTTGTTGTTGTTTTTCTTGTTTGCTCTGGCTTCAATGCAGCCTGAACTTTGCGCGCACGATGCTCACTTCTAGCGCAGCTCCACTCCGACTTATTGTGTCATAAAGTCTCATTGTGCTGGAGTGTATTGTGCATTCGTGACAGCGCTCCCAGGACTACCGTTACTAATTAGCGCGCAACCCAGTTAATCAGCTTGTGCCGGGGTATTATCCCCGACTCAGTGGGGAGCGGGCCGCAGACACACGCGAACAGAGAATAGAGAACGAGGAACAGGGAACAGGGAACAGAGAACAGTGAGCTGAGAGCAGACAGCAGCCAACAGGCTGGCAAATGAGTTTTCTTTGATTTTTAGCTTTAAGTTTTTTTCTGCTGCTTGTTTTTCTTTCTGGTTTTTTTTTTTTTTTTTGCCGTTAGAGTTGCGCTCATTAAATGCTAGCAACTGGCAATGCCATGACTTTTGGCCCTAAGGAAGAAACCCTAGACAAATATAATCTCATTGCGCTCGGCCCTCTGGGCGGGCGTTGGCTGGCGCTGGAATGCGTAAACGTTGACGATTAACTGCGCCATGAATATAAAGCAAAATAAAACGATTAGAACTAAATATAGAAAGATATCTCGCAACATGGCGGGCACCCCGAGCACTCGCTCTCTGTGGTTTTTAGCAGTAGCAGTCACTGCTCCCGCGTCCTCCGTTGAGCTACTGAGCTAGCTGGGCTCCTTGGCTGCGTCTAGCGGCTGTTTGGCCTCTGTGCAGTCAGAGAGTTGTCGGCGGCGGCACTCGGCCAAGTAGCGAACTCTTCAGATTGCATCTGCCCTCAGTGCTTGGTTGCGTTGCCGGGCTGCGGTTGTGGCTGTGGTTGGTGTTGGTGTTGGGTGTGGACCTGGCCGTCGTCTCATTGCCTCATTGCCGTGCATGACGCCCGTGCCCAGGGCAACAGCTGTAAGTCAAGATATGGAAAATGCTGAGATATTAGTGAGTCTGTGTATGTAAGTCACAATCTCATACACTAGAGACTGCACAATGCTTGTCCGTCTGTAAAATAAAATCTTTCATAGCTTAAAGCACACACACACGCACACACACATAGATTTATGTAAACCTGCCTCTGCCCAGGAGCCTGAACAGTTACCCACTCCCACGGCGACTGCATTCAGAACATTATAGTACGTATACGCCCCGTCAACTGTCAGAGTATGCCGTGGGGGAATTTACATTTAACACGCGAGCGGACAAGACAGCTGGCAAGAAAGAATCATCAGCATGGCATAGCAAAGATTTCTGGCATGCAGCCGCGCACACATGTTGCATAATTGCGTTCCATGTTGCCAGCTGAAGCCGCATTTATAGTCGCATTTCAGCTGCCTGCCTGCATGTTGCTCAATATGTTGCTCAATGCGCGCCAGCTTGGCAGTAAAAAGCTTCCCCAGCCTCAGCCAACTGAATGGGAGTGGCAGGCAGAGGGGGCAGAGGGAGAGGGAGCTGAGGAGGCGGCTGAGATGGCAGCAGGAAGTGGCAGCGCTTGGCTGCAGCATTGTTGATGCGCCAACAATGAGCAAGAAAGCACACACATGCAAATGCATCGGGACAAATGGAAAGCATAAGCAAAATGTGTATACAAATACGAAATTTAATACACATACAAATTGCGGTAACAGGACTTTGAGCGAAAAAATTGCATTCATCTCAAAAGCAATTGCTGACTATTTTTTAATGAAATTGCTCACACAAGCGAACGTGGGAGTGAAACGCAGCAGAATGTATTAATTTTGTATTTTCCGTTTTAATATGATTCAATGGAATATTCTTTGTCTTTGACATACAAGACATTTTTTAATGAAATTCACAAAAATCGATTCATGTGTGAACAATAAACTGTTTAAAATTATTATTTTAATTGAATGCTGCAGACAGTTGCAATCGGGAGCAAGCACTCACATGCAAAAAAATTAATAAATTTTAATTGAATGCGATCGTGATATTAGTAACATACAATTTTATTGTTTATATAAATAAAATAAATAGAAACTAAAAAATTTGCTCACTAAATAAAAACAATAAACAAGCCTAAAAAGGGTTTATCAGCTGAACTGATTAAATTTGTTGTATAGAAAAACTTTTTTAATTCAAATCGGAATATTCGTTGAAGAGATATAACTTTTCAATAATTTCCATAATTATTCGGCTCTATGTAATCAATATCTTTTATAATGATAATAAATAATTTTACTAAACGTTTTTTGTCTACCACAGTATAAAAATCTTGTATTTTTTTAATCTTTTTTTTTTATTAAATTCATTATTTGTGTTAGATAAATAAAATATATATATCTTTCGATTATTGAAATTCAATTTTTAAAACGTGCTCAATTCATTCATTAAATTATTTATAATTTCTTGCAAATGAGATTATGTTTCTATTCAACTATTCGAATGAACTAAAAGTGAGAGTCTAAAATTAAATTGCAAATGAAATTAATAGCTTTGGCCTTTGATAAAGCTGTGTTTAATTACAAATCAATTAAACGACGAGTGCAGTGCTTCCGCTTTTGTAATTAAACGCTCTTTTGGATTCCCCAAGTGCAATGCGAAACTATCATAGGGCAAGCTGAGAGGGTCCAAGGGTCAGGGGCCTAGGTTAAACGGGCTGTGCTGAAGAGCGCTGTGAAAATCGCAGCGCTGCATTCATATTAAAGAGGGGGAGTGAGAGAGAGAGAGAGGGAGAATGGAGGAGAGGGAGAGAGAGAGGAAAACAAAAACAGCCACGAATCCTTTGAAATGCATTTGGGCGTATACGCTAAACGGACGAGCAAGCAAAAGGCACATGGGCCACTCCCTCCGATCCCTCCATATGGATATCAGCTATCAGCCATGCGTTTACTGTGGCCACTGTGGTGCGGCCACCGCCGCCCAGCTATGCCAGCTCCTAGTTTGCACTTTTCTATATAGTGAAATTCAATCAGGCGCTCGGCTGAGCAGCTTTCAATTAAACGCTTATCGCGCTTGCTGCAGTTGCCGCTGACAAGAACAAAAGGCCTCGGGCCAGGCTGGGCCAGGCGGGGTCAGACATCATTAGAAGCAAGTGTAAAAGGTTCGGCGCATTAAAATAAAGCGCACTCGAGATTATGGAAACTCATTAAAAAAGTTTTTCGGCAACATATTTTACAAGACCTCAACTTTCGCTCAAGCTGCAATGGCGAAAGGAATGCTCAAGGACTCCAGAGTGTGCAGCTGATGGCCTGCGAATTAGGGCCGAAAGTCCGACGGTTTATTTAACAAAAAATGAATAAAAATAAATAAACATTACACACACATTTGTGGGGGAAAAAAGAAGAAGCAGGGAAAGGCGAGGCAAGTATATAAAGGCCAAAAGCAAATAGAGCGTGTCATAAGAACAGGCTGACTCCGTCCGTGTCTGGGCTGCTAAAAACGTTCATAAATTAGATGTCAAAGCCCTGGCCTTAACGGCAATAATATACACTCACACGCACACACGCACGCACACATATGTTGGGCACATGAAAAAAGGGTCAAAAGTGAAAAGCAACACACGCAGCTGAGCCGCTTTGAATGTGAGCGATTGGTATTTGGTATTTGGCAAGCAAAAGTTGTTGCGACTCTATTAACAAATTATTTTTTGGCCAGCCAAAGTTGAGTTGAGGCCATCAATTGTGGCGCATGCAAATGAAAGTTAAATGTTGCGTGGCCCAACAAAAATTGTGTGAGCCCCAAGAGTCAATGGCACGTTTAATATCCTGCAGCGTTGACAGCCCAAATTTGACATATCCTGCCAATTTATTGCCACACTCGTTCACTCTTTCTATTTCACTTTTTTGTTGCCTTTTTTCTGTTTTTGTTTGGTTTTATTTGCATTGCTAGAAACACAGACATTTGCGTGCGTTGCTTACTTAATTTTCCACACACCACACACACACACGCACAGACACACATATATATAAACATAATTAAGGCAACATGCGAAACTCGCGGCATAAACATAAATCTCTGACAGACGTCCAGCAGCGGCAGCAGCCGCCGACTCCTGCCATAACCCAAAGCGCCGACCAAAAAAAAAATGAGATCCAAGTGGAACTCATTACAACTTGACTCGCGGCTCGAAGCTCGCAACTCGAAACTCGCATTCATTCATGGCGCGCATTTTCATTCATACGCACCGTTGTACGTGAACGCCTCATGGTTGGCTCAGTTAGCCCGTTCGCCTTGTCGTTGCTGTTGTTGTTGTTGGAATTGTGGTCGAAATATTATAATAATGCTGGCACGCACTTTTATGGACAGCCGTGTTATCAGCGTTATCCCGGCCGAATTATGCGCTCGACTGCGTTTCACTGCGTACCGTAAAAATTGCCAATGGAATCTCGCCTAACAAGCTCGCCTTACTGGCCTTTATCCGTTTCTGCGGCACTTGTGGCGTATGCGTAATATTTGCGAATAATGCGAAGCGCTCGTTGCGTCTGCCTCAACGTTGCCGACGCGACTCAGCTTGTGCGTGGACTAAACTCCTGTCTTATAGTCCTGCTGGCGCTGTTGCTGCTGCTGCTGCTGCTGTTGCTGTTGTTGCTGTTGCTGCTGCTGTTGTTGCTGTTGCTGCTGCTACTGTTGCTTCGGCTTCGTATTCGTCTCGGCCCGTTCGGCACTGCAGTGCGTCGGCCGTTTTTGTCGGCTTTTTGAAACTTTGCCATTTGTTAGTGTGTCAATGGCGCTTGCATGCGGAAATTGTTGTCCAAGTTGTAGCAAGTGCAGAAAATGTTGTTGCTTAACGCTCAAGCTGACAGCACAAACACCAACACCACACACACAGCACACACACACACACAGCACATAGACACAGCTGTGTTGTCACATCATAATGCAAATATTTAAAATTCACCCACGCATAATATTGATGCTCAGCTTAGCCGCAGAGTAGCCAAAAAAAAAAAAAAATAAATCAAAATAAATATAAATATAAAAAAAAAATACAAAATTATAGCTGATACTTTGACGCATGGCGCAACACACGGCGCCTGCTGATGCTAATCAACTTGGCCATGTTGCTGTTGTTGTTGTTGGCTCTGCCGTCAGTTGGTGCGACAAGTTTGGCAGCAGCCTGGGTGGGAGTGGGCATGAGTGGGCATGCCTGGCTGGCAGTTTGCTATTATTTAAATCAGGAAGTTGAAGAAATTTCCGCTCCACACGGCTACAAATTGGCAGTAGGCCACGCAGACTGGCAGCTGGCGCCGACACTGCGACTCTAGCCGGCGCTAGCTCGTCCCTTCGCCGATGCGTCGCGACGCGTCGTCGTCGTCGTCCTCATCGGCCTCGCTTCCGTTTCGTGTTGTGCGCTCCGTTTCCCTTTGACAGTTACGTGCACAGCCGTCGTCAAGTCAATTAAATTTTTGTTTAAGTGATTTGAACAGCCGTGTAAAATATCATCAGGCCAGGCCAGGACAGGCTGGGACAGGCTGGGACAGGCTGGGCCAAGTCCTGGGCCTCTCGCGTCCAATCTAATGAGAAATCGATGTGTCCCACACAATTTGCTTAAATCCAATTGAAACTCTGGTCGCGCACCTGGCACACCCGATTGCCAGATACCATATATACTATATATAGCTGAGAGGCTCCCGGCGGCCATTTAATGAGTTTTTATTGCGCTGCGGGTGCTTTGATTGCTGCGACTTTTAACTTGATTTACGCGCCCATCACTCCCACTATTGATTTTACAATTAAGCCGGCTCTGGCCGAGCCTCGCCGGGCCTGGCCTGGTCTCGTCTCGTCTCGTCTCCTCTCGGATTGGATGGGGTGTGGGTAGCTTGTTTGGTATGCAATGCATTTTGCATGTTTTCGCGTGTTTTGCGCATTTGTTTGCGAAATGTCTTACAGCCAGGATGTGCTCGCATGTGCCTGCTTCTTGTTTGGCTTTCATTTACTCTCTTTTTTTTTCGCTCACTCACTCGCTCAAGAGTGTGAGAGTCCTTTGTAGCAAGTTTTATGCGCCGCATCCGCTGCCTGGCTGCCTATTTGCAGTAGTTGAGGCAGCAGCAACATCGAGGCGCAATTTATGCGGTAATTGCTTTTTTAAGCGCTTCACATTTATCTTTTCGACGCAAGTGAAATGAGTTTGGCGCTGCCTCTGCCTCTGCCTCGCCTTTGCGTGTCTTTGTCGATTTGCTTGCAATAATAGCAAACAGCAACAGCAACAACAACAACAAGCAGACAATAATAACAGAAGCCCACGGTAACAATGACAACAATGCAAAAGACTTCAGCTCAACTACTTACAATGGCATTTTTATGACATCTTCTATTTGCCTCCGCCGAGGAGTATGCAATGAAAATGCCAGACGACTTTTGGCATTTCGCTTTGGCCCTTATTTTGCCTCGGCCCAACATCTTACCCTAATTAATTAGACGCAATGCGAAAACGTTCACAACAACAAAAAAAAAGTACATACAAAACATTGTAGATAAAGATTAATTTGATGTGAAAAATTGCGACACAAACTTTTTGATTTATGCTCCCAACTTGTCTGCCAGCGAAAGGGGGTTGTAGATGGGTGTGTGGGCGAGATCTATTATATAATTTTATGAGCGTTCGTTAAGTGGTCATCAAAATAGCTCTTCATGAAAGTAAAAGCATTTTTAAAAGCCTTGCAGTTGCTAGAATCGTTTTCGATGCGTCAGCCAAATAGTGTTTTTACAGCCATTTAAATTTCCAGTGCACCCTAAACTTTGGCGCGCATCAGGCCACAATGGCTTCCAAACTGCGCTCAGTCCAGCCAAACAAGTTAGCAGCACCATCAAAGTGCTGCCTCAAGGCAATAGTCTGGCAACTCCATAACTCAAATTTCTCGATTATTATCTTCGATATGTGACATCGATGCTCAGTAGTTAAATTAAACCTGGTTTGTTACACCTTGTTTGTTACTTTTCTCTCAAACTTCGTCGTCGCCGCCTGCCGTTTCGCGCTGTTCGTAACGTGTTTGCAATAAACAATTGCGCTGGCTGCATATTGTTAACTATATCGCTCAGTAGCTCTGCGTGTTCTCTACTTGTACGGAACTCGGGGTTTGTCAGAGAACGAAAAAAAAAAAAAAAACAACAAACAAATATTTTGTAGGCCACAGCGGATTTCGATTCGTTTTGTGTGTGTCACGCCCAAACACATCAGAAACAAAAAGTAACAAACACAAGTTAACCGTGGTGCGTGTGACGACTAAAAAAGTGCAATAAAAACGATATTTACTAGAAATTGTGCGGCAACGAGACCTTGACAGCTGTAAGAAACACATAAAAACAAGTAGGAAAAAAACGCAATGGAGGTTAGTAGTATTATTATTGTTGTGGTTGGTGGAAGCTATATGACAATAGCCAGCTCAAGTGAATCTTTCATTGATAATTGCCGTTTTCCTTGAATGATTTCATTTCAATTATTACTCGACAACAACAAAATTAAGGCATTCCCTTTTACCCCGCTCACTCAGCGCTCCGTGCTCAGTGCTCAATTGAAGGCGGTGTGTGAGCGAGGTGACCAGCGATAACGATTACGTCAGTGCGTGCTCTCGCACAGACTCACCCTCTCTGTCGCCCTCTCCCTCATTTGCGGCCCGCTCTCTCATATTTGAGCTCTGGAGTTTGCGCTCTGGGCATTCACTCAGGCGTTCTCCCAAATGTTCGTTGTTGCTACACTCGCTCGCAGGGTTCGCTACAGGTCGACGTCATCTAACCCTATATTGATGGTCTTCATTATGGATTCCCAACGCCGGCTATAAAATATATCGTGTTATTATATCACCACAAAGCTGCTTTCTTTTTCTGTTTGTCTGGCGGTGAGGCAACCTTATTATAGATTTCATATAAAATTTCGCAAACTTTGTAATTAAAATTATCAAATTTGCATTTTTATATAAGACAATTAACAGCTGTTTATTGTTCCATGCACTGTGCTTATCAGACTTGGGCATTAATCACCGCACATTTATGACGTTGACGTAAACAGTTTACCCAGTTTCAGATAAAACCTATGTATAAATATGACTATTGATTAACCCATCGCCCAGTCACTCACTCAGTCTTTTATAGCTCTCGAATATGTACAAAGATAATCGCCATGAGTAAAGACTTTATGTTGATTATCCACCTTTCCCAACAAATTAAAAAATTACCCATTACCATTTTTCGTTAAGTTTTTTTTTATTGCTACTAATTACTTTGCTTAGACCTCTCTCTCTCATCTAATGGGTTTATGATTAAGCTGCGCTTTCTTGCCCCACAATTAAGCCCTTTGCGCACTTGGACGCCCACACTGAGGCGACAAAGCGCATTAAATGTCTTTTGTGAGCTAAGTAATTAATCGTCTTTGTATTTTATTTAACCATTTGACGGCCATCAAAGCAAAACATGAAAAGCCCCTCGAAATAGGGGCAAAAAGAAAAACACAAAAAAGAACGACAGTCGGCCAACATTGAAATTGGCCATTTCCGGCATTTAATTGACGTCGTGCACACGAAAAATTGTCGAATAGCAAACAACAGAGAAACAGAACTAGTTTACCCATTGAGTGCGTTCTAGTGTTCCACAGATTGAAATGATGAGCAGACACGCCGGATTATATGTGTTCCATCCATACGAAGATAGAACGAGTACATATCGAATAGCATTAGCAGATATGTTATGTATTTGTATAGACATTAAATTAGGTCAACAAAATACTATTTTGTAGATCGAAATAGGTTTGCGTGTGCAGCAAGCATAGCTAATAATATCTAGTTGAAATAATAGATGGTTTGAAATATATAGATTATATTTAAATAAGCTATACTTGTTTAGTGACGTTAATTAACTGCCAAACCAGCTCCCCCGTTGACTTGTAAAATTTTATAATCTTTTTTCTTTATTATTAAAAATTTCCAATTAAATTAGAGTTCAATAATATCATAGACTATATTTATTTGTGAACTGGGGCAGAGTTCAGTCAATAAAACAAAAATGCCTGTTAGTGGTTTTTACCCTGTATCGATTCAGGCTATAAATAAAATAATATATAGCTCTAAATGCATACATTCCGAAAAAAAATCATAAATATAATATAAACAAGTAAGAAAGCTCTAGTCGAGACTGCTCGACTACGAGATCCCCT